ACAAAATTAGTTGTTCCATTTTAGCAGACGTTACTAATTTAATTTACCAATAGTACAATTGCAGGGTACTTTTATTAAGCACTTAAATATGTAGTTGTATTTGTAGTATACTTAGCATGAAATAAATGTATTTCAAATACATTTTAGTATATATTTTTTCACTAGGGTATAAAGATATCTGTTTTATACTGAGCATACTAAGAGGACATTGTGATGAGAAAATACAGTAATATGAGATGGGAGGAATAAGGTTTATTCATTCTCTCACAAAAGTATTGTGTTCCCATGAGAAACTTTGCATTTGCTCAAAATCACTGAAATATAGTTTTTCTTCCCATCCCATATTTTTTCCATTTCAAAAGTTTTGCGAGTGAATGCAAAGTTTCTCAGGGGAATTCAGTAATTTTGCAAGAGAAATATTGTTTTTTTTTCATCATCAGTCCCCTTACGGGCTCCGTATTGTATCACTAAAATAATAATAATCAGTATAGATATGACAGAGAATATAGAGTGGCACACGATATGATTTTGTTTACTAAGAACACATCCAATCAAAGTGGTATTATCAACTACTTCAAAACAAAAGATGGGACAAGTGTGAATTTACAGTATAATTCAGAATATTCTTTCAGTTTAGCATTTTATAATATTCACATTATTATTAACACAAACTTAAAAAAGAAAGAAAGAAATCTTCAAAAACGTACTGGGGTGACTTTGGTCTCATATAAAACCAAGAACTTTCCTTGGCTTTATAGCCTGCTTCAGTTATGAATGTGTCATGGAGACTGGCAAATTATGTTTTTCATCTCTTCAAGATTGATCAGGAAATCTGCTTGTCAGGCATGAGGAAAGCTTTAGCTGTGTTTTTGTCAACACATTCCCTGGTGACATTTAGACTGCATATCAGATTTAAAAATTTTACACATATTATGATAAGAACGCATGACTTCAAACACTCTCGCTCTGAAAACTAGATATTATCTCTAGGTCACACCGATTTACAATTGTTTGAAGCAGCATGTTTTCTTGTTTTTGAATTGTATGACATTTTCAGTATGACAGCTTCAGTTATTGCGTAAATAAGCAGTTGTCCAGTTTAAAAATCAAATGCCTGAAAAAAGAAGAGACTTTTTGATTTGGTGTGCGGTTTCACAGCTGTACGCTACTGCAGTAAAGTACATGCAAAGCCCCAGATCACAGAGATCTCTGCATATCTATCATCAGAGAGTCTCAGGTCTCATAAAACAGTGTTTTAATTGTCACATAATTTCTGTTTGTTCAAATCAAAGCCAGTTCAGTAGAACATTTAGACACATTTTTGTTGTCTAAAAGAAACTGTGATACTCTAACCAGTCACTCTCAAAACATTTAGTCCACCAATTGATTGATTTAATGAGTCAGACATGTGACCAGATGGGTACCAAAATTTTATTTTCAGTACACTGTTGAAAAGGTTTGGGTCAATAAGATTTTTTAAAATAATTTAATGCTTTTATCCAGCAAGGATGCATTCAATTGATCAAAAGTGACAGTAAATCCATTTACAATGTCACAAAAAAATATTTTTCAACAAATGTTTTTTTTTTAATATATATATATAATAATAGAAATGTTTCTTGAGCATCAAATCATCATATTAGAATGATTTCTGAAGGATCATGTGACACTGAAGACTGGAGTAATGATGCTGAAAATTCAACTTTGTTTTGTTTTAATGTACTTATTTTTAAATGTATTTTTAATCAAATAAATGCAGCCTCTGTAAACTTAACAGACTTTTTTCAAAAAAATCAAAGGGGTCATAAAAACCCATGTTGCTAAAAAGAACATTATTTTGTGTATTTGGTGTAATGAAATGTGTTTATGCGGTTTAAGGTTAAAAAAACACATTATTTTCCACATACTGTACATTATTGTTTCTCCTCTATGCCCCGCCTTTCTGAAACGCATCGATTTTTACAAAGCTCATCGGTCTGAAAAGCGAGGTGTGCTGTGATTGGCCAGCTATCCAGTGCATTGTGATTGGCCGAATACCTCAAGCGTGTGACGGAAATGTTACGCCCCTTACCATATTGTGATGATGCCCTGTCAGGCCGGAGTGATGATTCAAAAACATGAAAACCCATTATAAACGAGGCA